TAACAGACTTTAAACTCATCAGAGTCTAATTAAATAGTTTTTTAATAAATTAAAAATTATGATGCCCGATGTTTACATTAATGTTTCTACTGTGCAATATTTCTTATTTTCAATGTAAAACAATCTTAGCGCATTAATGAAATAGAAGGTAGAGTAGCTAAAAAACAGCGCATAATATACCGTACGTACAACACAAATATGTATTTATATCAAACGTACTGTATTACTTACAGTACGTATTAGGTATATAATGTTCGTTTGAGTGCTACCAAGATCGGATATTTTGTGTACAGTTAGCTATCTTTGGAAATCTATCGTAGATTTTCTATAAATGGCTAACTGTACACGAAATATATAATTAAAAGTCCGATGATCGGTTTTTCTCTTGGCGGCACTCATATACCCGCACCTCATGTAAACTACCGATGTGCCGAATAGTTATCATGTGAATATTGTAGATCATACTAGTCACATGAAAGTTATAATTCTGGGCAACCTCAGAAAATTGGGGGATACTATATGCAGCGTTGTACGGTAATTCTATAAATATTGTGATATCATAATTATTTAATTAGTTAAAAAAATCAATTAAAATATTTTTATTTATATATATTTATAGTTAATAATCAGTATTATTACCACACATCCTCTTTACTGCCTTAACTCTTTCAATCATAGATTTTGTGTTTCTCCATACATCATTTATTGAAATATTTCGCCACTCTTCTTGACAATATCTATCAAGCTCTTCAAGATTTGAAGGCCGTGGTCGTCGTAATCTTACTTTTCTTTTTAGGAGTGCCCAAACATGCTCAATTGGGTTTAGATCTGGACTTCTGGACGGCCAGTAAACTTTAACTATAGGACTATGATCAACTATATAGTCCTTCACGATATCTGCATTATGGCAGGGTGCATTATCGTGTTGGAAAAGTATTTTGTCTTCCTCAATTCTAGTAGAATTACTAGTAGAATTACTTGTAGAATAACGTCTAAATAGTGGCTCTATATATTCTCTAAGAATTTGAATATATTTTTCTTTATTCATAGTTCCTTCAAAACGAACTAAAGGACCTTTGCCAAAATCTGTACTTATCCAGGACCAATAGTTTATCCCCCCTCCACTACCTTGAATTTTGGCTTGCAAACATTCAGGATTTAATCCTTCGTTTGGCTTGCGCCAAACAAGTATCCTTCCATTTTTTGGAAATAGCGTTATACGCATCTCATCAGAAAATACATGCTTGTTCCAATAAGAAAGTGGTCGATTGATATGACGGCAAGCCCATCTATACCGTTTTATACGGTTAATTTCAGGTAAATATGGTTTCCTTAGGGCTACCCGACTCCCTATATTTAATTTACCTAAATAACGCCGGAATGTTTTTGAAGAAACTTGAAGATTCGTATTATTCGTGTTCCAAGTTTCTGTTAATTGATCTAATGTACTTCTCCGGTTGTTTAATGCTAATTCCTCTACACGTGATAAATCTGCATTGCCAATTATTGGTTTTCTTCCAGAACGTTTTATTGGCACTGGATTACGAATTTGAGGATCTTTCCATCTCTTAATAACATTTGCAACGCAATCTTTAGATTTTCCTATGTCTTTTGCAATACGTCGGTATGAGGCTCCCATACGGTACATGCCAATAATTTCCCAGCATTCTTCTTTAGTTGGCTCTTTTCCTCTTGGCATGATATATGACTTTTGTAAAAAAAAATTTTAATGATTATATTTTATAGTAAATTGATATAATTAATTTGCAAATGCTTAAGGGTTTATATAGGTGCAAATCATCTAATCGCATCAAAAATATAATAAATGTTGCGCCACTAAGCAAATCATTAATTAAGGAAATAATAATGATTATGGTACACGACACAGTAATCAATGCGTATACGTATATTCCAGAACAAAACTACATATATAGTAGTTTCTAGAATACATACAAAAAAATATCCAATTTCGCTCGAGTGCGTGATATAATGGTTTACTATTACGTATAAGTTCATGGTTTTCACTCAAATATAGTACGTACCGGTACGTTGTGAACGTGAGAACCAATCCGGAAATTCAAAATATGGGTCACACAATATCAATAGGCACTAAACTAATCTAAATTAACACTATCTAAACCCTAATAGTGGAAGGCTACAAAAGAGCCAAATAGAGCTCTAGCTACATCACGAGGCTCTAATTCGGGACCACAGACTATAAGATTACTTATCAGGGAATTAAGAGAACGAACTTTTATGAACTATATCTGATATGCACAAAACGTTAACTGACTTTATTCAAGGCAAACTCTTAGCCTTTATATACATTCTTTGGCTACTATCGCTAATTCTACGTATCTATTATATCTGACATATACGTATAACATATATAACAGATCTAACATAACTAATGGATCCGACGGATCCAACATATCTAACAGATCTGACATATCTAACAAATCTGTTAGATATGTTAGATCCGGCAGACCATCTCAATCTACTACGCCAAAAAAATATTTCGAGTCACAATTTACCCCTTCACAACGAATCGTTTATTTTTATATACGTACTTAGAACTACCAGCGTAAGTCTAGAGCGACAAAATTTTAATTTGAAACTCTTAGATTAATGTTCTTTATATCTAGGCTAAATTAACATAATTTTAAGCAAATAGCATAATTCTAATAAATTTTTTATTGTCAATGTGCTTTGAGCGTTTACAGTTTGCTACGTAATATAATTACAATTAAAATCAATTCTTTAAACAGTATTTAATAATTTATATTATCGAATACTTTTGAATTGTTCCAATCAATGGTTGTTTGTAAGTGCTGCATTGGTGAATTACGCATTTCGGTCTTTAGATATCCTAAAAGTTCTTTATGACCTGAATGCTTTCGAGTAAGTATTTTATAAAACGCATGCATACCTAACCTATATAACATAAAGAATATAATGTTTATCACTGTACATAAAAAAAAAAAAAAAAAAAAAAAATTATACATGCCAGGATATGTCAGAAGATCCAATACTAGATTCATTAACCATTAAACATACATGCTTAATCGTATCATTCATTATACCTAACAAAATTATATTTTGTATTTAATTATATATACATAATATATCATAGATTTTACCACAACCAAATTAAAATTTGGTTACGTAGAACTGAATTTATTTTCATATTTTTTAATCGGATATAATATGAAAATAAAACCGGTTCTAACTCTAATTAATGCCTACTTATTTCAATATCTTCATTTCTTGAGTTGCCTCGCAACGTTCGACCTTTGATATAGCGATGAAATTTCATAGCCGTCAACAAAAAATTTTGGTAAATGTTAAGCAATACAATTGCTTTGGCGTTGAACGATAAGTCATTGTATATTGGATGACAATTCTTGGTAACGATACTGATTTTAAGATACAGTATAATTTAGACACATGCTAAAGATAATAAATAAAATGATATAGTATTTACTCAATCATCGCTTGTTTAAATGCTTCAATAAAATCTTTAACCGTTAAAGTATTTTCAATGTCTACATAGTTTTTTATTAAAATACGTAATGAATAGCCAATATAAATTATATTGAATAACGAATTAGAAAGACCTACATGTGAAGCTATATCGCGTATAATCAACTTTGCAATTCAATGTGCATGTATTAATTAGAATTCCACACCATAGAAAATCTAAAATCCAATTCATATAAGTTAAAAAATTTATTAAAAATTATTAAAACTACAAAATATTTGATTTACCAAACGTATTACTCAATTTTTTTATCGGTTTTCTATTGACGATGATATCGAAGTTTGTTAAGCTCTTTTCTTTGTTAACAGCGCAAGGATGATCTAAAAATAAAATACTCAATAAAATTACAACTCCGTTCAAAGTTAAATAAATCGTAGCTTTGTAGTTGTTACCTTTATACATCGTAGTTATAAATCTTTCAACATTTTCTTTGTCAGCACTTATGTACAAGAAATCAGCAAGAAAACGTAGCATAACCTGTAAACTCAATATTTAGATACTAAGCTTACTAAAAAAATCAAATATAAAAGCAATATATTTACTTACATCATTATCACGCTTTACAAAAGGAAACACCGCCAATTCCATCTCACGTTGAACCTCCACTTTTGCAAAATATATCTTTGATCTATAATAAAAATCGATTATTATTGCATTTAATTAATATTGCAACTGAACCTGGAAATAGCTGAGCTGGAAATTTTAGGATCCTCGATTTAAAAATGTAAACTCTGCATAAAAACTAGCCACATTAGCATCTTTATTACTGCGATAAAATTCTTTGTTAATGTGATTGATTTTATCCGTAGCGGATAGGTCGACATTGGCAAAGAAGGGAGTGTTTCTTGATTACTTTGCTTCTATTCGACTAGTCCTAAATCCTAATCTAACTAAATTTGAAATTTTCATACGTATCAAAATATTTAAAATTTCTGTACGTATGTAATCTCAGCCATTTCCAATTTCAGCCATAAAAATTAATACGTAACCATAAATCAGAACTACGTATTAACATACTGTGCACGTCTATTTTCAGTAAGACTTTGTTTAAAATATTTCAAACATTCATAAATCTCATCAAAACATAACGCTACATTATCTAGGTCAGAAAACTTTTTGTCCAATAATTGCGCATTCTGAAATTAAAAAATCAATTATTAATATGTTAGAAACATTAAATTAATTGAGTTTATATACTTTTTCAAGTTGTAACCAAACGTCTTTGCGATAGTAAAACACCCGATTTTCATACATTGTATGAGTAGTTATATAGAAAGTAGTCTGAGTAATACGATGTGTAAATAAAATTTAGTAACAAGAAATTTGAATCTGAGAAGTATCAAGAATTTGAAATTTTCTAACCTGAAGTAGCGAAATAACAAAACAATCAAATATCCACCAAATGAATTCATATAATATTTCAGAACGTTTATCAGCTTCAACTTTGTTATTTTTATTACCCTCTACTATAAGCCATGCGCACTGCATAATCTTACAATTCAATGAATAAATAATTTTTAGAACTAGCGAGCTATATTATAATAAATAAAAGATAAAATTTAAATACTTTGAATTTTTTTAAAACGTTATGCAATGAGAGCTCTTCATAAAATCTAAGTAAGATGAACACTTCCATAGCTATTAAAAAAAAATTAATTAATTATACTAATAATAAATATTTTGATTATTTCAAATATATTACCTTTAAGTATTATTTTTTTATTATCATCACAACCCCAAAATATCTCTGGAATTACTTGTTGCAACACCGCACAAACAAACGTGTATACCTATTTATTAAAGTCTAGCTTAAACGAAAATTTCAATTGCAAGAATTATTCATTATAATGCAAAATACCTGATTCGTATTCGAACTAGACTGAATATAATAATTAATGTCCGTGGGAGAAGTTGATAACCTGTCTCGTGCCTATTAGAATTAAAAAAAGTACTATATAAATTATCTGTATTTGTTTGATTTTATAATTAAAATATAATCTCACCACAGGGCAAAAACGGTTGAGTAAATATTTGTATCCACATTTTTTATGATTTGAAATCATCTCACGTATCATAGGTAACACTTGAGTTAAGCGATGAGGTATATCAGCACTAGACTTCTATATAAGAATAAATCGCGTCATTAGTATTTATGTTTAATGCCTAGTCAATATATATCAGACCATTTATTACCTGAATCTCAGTAATACGATTTTGATATGATTGGAATAATGATTCTACACTTAGTTGCCCATTATTATCATAATCAAACACATTACAATGTCCAAATTGCTTTGGAAAAATATGCTGAATGACAATGTTTGTTGACATTTCTTTTGACATTTCTTTTGAATTTTTGACAATATTTAAAATATCTATAAAGATTTTATATATACGTAAATCAATAAAATACTAAATAAGTTAATCACACTTTTTAATTACTTACGATGTTTAGGCAGTCCAGAATTGGCATTGCAAGTTGCATGGAAAAATATTTTGAATCTATTAAATATAAGATTCGCAGGCGTTCTTGCACCCTTTTTTGAATTTACTTTTGGGTCATCAATATATGATTCAGTATTGTTAAGAGATAAATTTTCTGAAAAATCAGTATTAATAGTATTTGATTTCCTAAAAGTTCTAATGCTATCATCATTGTTGTATTTTGTAAATTTAGAAATCTCTTCATATTGATCATCTAAAGCTCGTTTTTTTGGCTAATCAGCATGAATATATATTAAATCAATAAATGAGATTTAATCATAAAGCGTTATTGCTATACAGTATAATCACTATGTAAAACAAGACTTACCGTCAGATCCAAAATGAAATTTTCACGCTCGTGTTGTGAATTCACATACATATCTTGACAGAGATGTATTACTAAAATAACGCGTGAAGTTCTTGGAAAGGTAGATTATTTTGACATTAGAGTTACGTAGAATTTGCTTTTTTTAAATGTTACCCGGACAATTGATTTACATCAGCCAATCAGATGAAAGTCGTCCTATGACCCCGTGCCCCAACTCTACGTACAGTACGTTCACGTAACTGATCATAACTGATACGTAACAAAACAGACGTGTTTTACGTATACGTACGTGCGTATATGTAAAAATATGATTGGTTAATTATCGTGATAATTGTATACAAATAGTTGTACGTATGTAAAAAAAAAAAATCCTTGCAACGTTTTAAGTTTCGCCTAGCTTTAATAATAACCTAACCCTTGAGCATTTTGTACCGTGCAAAGTACCCTAACCCTTACGAACAAGGTTGCCCTTCCCACTGTATTTAGTATTCTTATACTAACCGTCTATATAGAGTGAGAGGCGCTCTGGTATAAGATTTAAATCTAAAGAAATGGGTTAAGACTAATCAGTGTTCTATATTAACCACTCGACTAGATGAACGAGTGCTCTGGTATAGTTGTAAATCTGAATAAACCGGGAGTGTCTTCAGTATTCTGCACTAATCGCCTCCCTAGGTGTTTTAGCAAAGTTATAAATCTGAGGAATAAAGTTGTATTAGCTTTACCGATTTTCCAGTATTCTGCACTAACCACCCGACTAGACGAGCGGGTGCTCTGGTAAAGTCTGAGGTCTTAAATTCAAGGCTCCAACTTTTGTTGTTAGCTATGTATAGCTTCAATTCTTCTGATCTTTACAGCTGAATTTCTTTTAGACTATATATTAGAAACCGGCGCTCGGTACAACACTCTCTCATTGGGGTTTAGATTAGGTTTATTGCTAGTTACATATATAAAATTCTACTGGGTTTACAGAGATACGTTTCGCTTAACTTAGTGTGCTTTTTATATGAGAAGCTTATATGTTGCGCTCGCCGGTTTTCTCTTTTCAAAGCGAGGATAATGTGCACTAGAAGAAAAGGGGGGTTTCTTCCTTGAAATAATAAGGTTCTTCCCAGAAAAAGCAACCTGGCTATTTGGATACGCCTCTACGTGGCAGTCAGGACTAGTAGGCAATATTTGTCGAAGCCAAGTATCCAAATATTATTTATTAGTAATTTCAATAAATATATAGTTTTTTAAAAATTGAAATAAATAATTAAATAAATATTAAAACCAATTAATACTTCGATAAAAATTTTTTAAAAGTTAATTTTAGTATATGATTTGTAATTGTATTAAAAATTGTATGTATTCAATAATAATAAAATAAAATAAAAAAAATATTAATACTTTAAATATATAAGTACAGTAATAGAGCAATTAACAACTAAGAATTTTAATGTTGTTTATTTATTTATTTTATTTATTAAATTATTTTTATTAACACAGGTCGAACTATAAAATTTCTGTGGTCTATCGAAAAGTAGATCGCATAAAGTGCACATATATCTCAGAAACTGTCCGATAGAAGACCGAGACCACAACACAACAGCCCATCAACAAAACGCCAAAAGTCATACAAAACTACAATAATAAAGAAGTTATAAAGCTAGCAGCCACAAAAATTGGAAGCATAATTCTAAACAAAGTAGCGACGAAGAAAAAAATCGAATCCATCTGAAAAGAAGAAACGGTTGGTAGTTAAACGTGTTCACAAAATCAAAACCAAAATTAACTAACACAATTATAGTAGTTACCAAAGCCGGAAACATAATTCAAAACGAAGACGCGACGAATAGAAGAATCGAAACCCACCTGGAAAAAGAACAGGTGGTAGTTGAACGTGTTCAGGAATCAAAACCAATTAACACAATTTATAGTAGTCACCAAAGCCGGAATCATAATTCCAAACGAAGAAACGACGAAGAGAAAAATCGAAACCCACCT